TGTTGAGATCGAACTCAGAAGGATGTGAAGGAGAAGCGTGAGTTTGAGGTTGAATGACATATCTTAAGCCGGGAGACAAACTATTCCGTTTTTCTATATTTTTGTTTTTATAAACAGTTACTGGCGTGGGTCTTCTGTCCGTTTAGAAAGACAAGGCGATTTTCAATTATCTTCACCACAACAAATCATAAACAGTAACGACACCAAAACAAACAAACGAACAAGAGACAAAGTCTTCGCATTCTCTTATTCTCCCAGTATCCCATATCCTTCACGAGATCAGTCACTGTGCCACTTCTCTGGATTATCTAACAGGCCATTCCAATTTAGGCCATTTTGCCAGCGCAAAACCGTGATGAAACACAACACCCTCTGATCACCCGGACAGTTCAGACCGAGTAACGCAAATAAGGAGTACTCCTGTAGCAGACAGCGCAGGCGATGCTACGGCTCCGCTCACAGTCACCGAGAGGCAGGCAGCGCGCGGAGTGTGGTCGAGCGTTAGGCAAGGCTCTGTCAAGAACAGTTAGTTCGCTTCGGCCACTTGGAGCGCCTTACCGTTACCCTCGGCCTCCTGTTTGTTTTCACTTTGTTACGGTTCAAATACAAGTGCATAGTACAAGGCTGAGGAAAAAGGGGGGAGGGAAAAGGAGAGGTAAAGAAAGGACGAAAAGGAGAGAGAGAGGAAGAAAGAGGACAGAGATAGAAAGAAAGAAAGATAGATAGATAGATAGAGAGAGAGAGAGAGAGAAGAGAGAGAGAGAGAGAGAGAGAGAGAGAGAGAGAGAGAGAGAGAGAGAGAGAGAGAGAGAGAGAGAGAAAGAGAGAGAATACAGACAAAGAAGACATATTACGAACAACCAAATCCACGATAATATCCCTCCTCAGAAGCGATATCAACTAGTTAGAATATCACATATATCCCACACCTCATATCCCATCCTCAGTTACACTCAGATACGTCGCCGTTACCTCCGTCAGCTAAGTGTACTCCCCGTTACTTCACCGGCAGTCCAGCTTAACAGTCACGCCCACCACACGCTCCTCTCGCCCTAGTGTGGCTGTGTGTCAGTGTAGCTCCTCAGTGTATTGAGGCGCGTGCTACCGGCTTGCTATGTGCTTAGATCTGTTTCTGTTTTGAAACTTTTGCCGTGAGTATTATGAACGTTTGTTTTTATTCAGGTTTGTGATATTGATGTTGTGAGTATGTAAGTTTTAATGTTTAGTGTTCGTATCGTCTGTAATTATTCCTTGTTATATGTAAAGGTTGAAATAACTTCCGTTGTATTTACATCTATCTTTACAAAGATTTTACCAAAAAGATTCCTTCTAACGAAAAGTAATTGGCTTTTACATTACCGAGCAGAAGTTACAACACATATATATTCAACAGGTGAGCTTGGATGGTATCATTTCTATCGAGGTGAAAAAATAAAATATATTGTGCATCATCACTGACACCATGAGAGTATTAGCAGTATTGACGTGTTTGACATGGTGTAGTCTTTTCCTGCCGTGTAAGAGCGCTTTATCAAGAGGCTTCACAACGGAGGAACCACGAGTCAGAAATGATACAAGCCCGGAGACTTCGTTGTCCAAGAGCGAGGTGGTTACGTTGCTATCGTCGCGAGGTAAGGTTGTGTTATGTTGGGTGGTGGTCGTTAGGTGATTGTGTATACGGTATAATGTGGATATGATATCTGATGAGAAATCACATAAATCAGTAAATGTGTGTACCTTTTTTTTCTTTTCTTACTATCCCCCTCTACATTCCCTTCTCTCCATCTTCCTTCTCCATTGCTCTTCTCCGCTCTTGAAAAGTTTCTTCACACATCTGCCCTTATGTAGAAAAGATATGAATGTGAATGAATATCTCCACAATACAAGCGATGTATTTCTGACGAAGATACCCATATAATCGAAATCTGTCAAACATGTCTCTTGTGAAGATATTCATTCTCATCCATACCTTTTCTACTTTTGTCAACATTTATACGGCTCTGCCCTTATTTCAAAACACCTTCGTAGAGCGTTCATTGAACTCTCTAAAACAGAGAATGATTTATTGCATTGCATACCTTCCTTCGTCACAGTAAGCTCTATGCAACTATAGAAGGTCATGATTGAGATTGAACAACTCCACAAGGAAAGAAAAAGTCTTTGTGAAAGAATTAATTTTCTTTGTATCCACAAAGAAAGTCATACACTCTTATTATTATCATTATTATAATTGTTATTATTATTATTTATTATTAATTTTTATTTATCAAAATGAAGTCTCGCACATACCTTTCCTACATTTCTCACAATGTATCATAATCAAGGAGAAGAAGAAAAAGAAAAGAAAGAAAGAAAGAAAAGAAAGAAAGAAAAAAGTATATGTACACACACACACACACACACACATATATATATATATATATATATATATATATATATATATATATATATATATATATATATATACATATATATATATATATATATATATATATATATATATATATATATACATATATATATATATATATATATATATATATATATATATATATATATATATATATATATATATACATATGTATATATATGTATGTATATATATATATATATATATATATATATATATATATATATATATATATATATATATATATATATATATATGAGAAAATGAACAATTCATCACGGAGAAATTGCTCATTCTTACACTTTACACATTACTCATCCCTTACTCACTGCGCTTCTCCCAACGTCCTCCAGCGCGGCATCCAGAGGGACCTCGCCCTCCGCACCACCTCTCGAGGCGCAGCGGCTGTGCCCAACCCTCGTCCTCCGGTTTCTCCACCTTCGGTTTCCTCGCCTTCATGCTCATCTCCGTCAACACCGTCGTCAACATCATCAATAACATCAACAATAACAACAACAACAATAACAACAACAACAACAATAACAACGACAATAATAACAACAATAACATGAATATGAACGAGAACGGGAGGGCGTTCGAGTTGAAGGACGACCTCTGGGATCTGGAGGCCTTCGACGACCACCACTGGAGGAGGAGGAGGGACTCGTGTGATTGCCGTGGTGAGTATGGCGATTGTATGCTGTGGTTGCCGTGGCGATTGTATGCTGTGGTTGCCATGGCGATTGTATGCTGTAGTTGCCGTGGCGATTGTATGCTGTGGTTGCCGTGGCGATTGTATGCTGTGGTTGCCATGGCGATTGTATGCTGTGGTTGCCATGGCGATTGTATGCTGTGGTTGCCGTGGCGATTGTATGCTGTGGTTGCCGTGGCGATTGTATGCTGTGGTTGCCATGGCGATTGTATGCTGTGGTTGCCATGGCGATTGTATGCTGTGGTTGCCATGGCAATTGTATGCTGTGGTTGCCATGGCGATTGTATGCTGTGGTTGCCATGGTGACTGTATGATGTGGTTGCCATTGTGATTGTATGGTGCGGTTACCCTGGATTGTAGTGGTGAGTATGGTGTAATTGTCATGCTGATTGTCGTGGTGAGTACGATGATTGTATTGTGTGGTTGTCAAGGTTATGTTGAGGTTGTCATGGTGGTTGTATTGTGAGTATGGTGTATTTGCAATTGTCACTGTCGCGAGTATGACATGGTTGCCATAGTGATTGTCTTGTGTAATTGCCATTATGACTATATGAACTGTAAAATGGTGCGTGACGCTATGTGAACGGTGTGCTTAATTGTGATTGTTGCTTGTTTACTGCGATGAGTGACGCTGTCTCCGTGGCTCTTTTTTGCCTCAGTGATTGTATACTACATTTACTTAGTGAATGAGAGTGTCAATACGGTACAGCTGCTGTGATGAATTAAGGATGGAGGCGGAGTGGCTATCTGGGTGAATGATAGTGAATGTCGTAATGAACGATAGTGACTTTGTATTGTGGCTGTCTTGAGAATGAAGGTAATTGTACAGTGCAGATTTTGAGAGTAGATTATTATAATTAGATGATATGGTGTCTCTTTACTCTTTAGTAATGTTTTGAAGAGAAATGAAGTGGTGGTGATCGATGAATGATATTCAGTGGTGAATATTGGTACACCATTATTGCGAAGATGTATGCTGATTCATATCATATCGTGCATGCTGACACATAATATGTATAACCTTGTATTGCTAAGAACACAGGAAACACTAATTTTCTAAAACAGTGTGGAGGACGAGTTTGCTAACATGAAATCAATGATCAGAGAAGATGATATCTTAACAAGATAAAAGATATGAATAAGTTAACCATTTTCTTCCCTCTGAATCCGAAACAGAAGGCTCTGTGGGCGTGATGGAAGCCATGGACGAGACGAGTGGCGACATCCAATCGTGGGCGGCCGCCGTGCTCTCTAAATATCCCCAGTGTCTTCCGCGGTTTGCCTGTGAGATAACCTCGTATGCCGGCGATAGCACAGTAGGGTAAGTTTGACAGGCTCTCAGCAGATTGAATTTTTAACTTGATCTATCACATATACGTATTTCGTTATCTGTCTACCTGTTCACATACCTGACCCTCACGTATGTCTGAGAAAACGCATATCCAGCTTGACTATCCAAGGACGTATTCACACATGTGCACTTGCATGTATGTAAATGTTCTTAATTTTGACCCATACATCTGTTAATCGTTTTTTTCCGTCTTCATGTTCCAGATTATTGTTATTAACGCCTCTGAAAACGTCTTTGGCTGGAGAGATCCTTCAATCGTCCAGGAACGGAGGATGTCAGACTTTGTACCCTCTCTGTCCACTCTTTGATGACTGAAGATTTCGTCATATTCTTACGGTATAAAAATGGGTGGTTTCTTGAAAATATTGGAATAAAGATATTGGAATATTTTTCTTTTGTTTGGGCAAATCCTTCTCTTGTTTCGAGTACATGTTGAAAATATACATAAAAAGTCCTTACTATAACTGGCTGAGGGAGCACCATTGGATATGTCATATTTTTATTGATTGTACTTTAGTTCACTGCACTTAATCAATTAGCATTATATGCCCATTATTATCATACAGCATGAAAGAACTCCAAAAAGACACCATTGGAAGTGCCACAGAAGCCACGTAGGGCGACATTGGTAGGGCCGCAAAGGCACCATTGCGAGGGCCGTTGTGGCACCACTTGAAGGGCCGACGGGGTAATATTGGTAGAGTTGAAGGAACACCAATACCAGATAAGCACTTGTAGAAGGCCGAAGAATAGAGGCCCACATGTAAAAAGGTTAAATGGTACCAATGGAAGGCCCAAAGAGGCATATTGTAAGGGCCATGTGGACACGAAGGGCCACCATAGGAGGGTCCGACGGGCAGCATCGCAATGGCCGTGGGGCACCTTTGGAAGGCCAAGAGACAACACTGACGGGGCAAAGGGATACCATTAATGGGCTGTGCTTCGGCATTAGCTAACCTGAGTACATGTGGGATTGAGTGACTTTGTTTGTTTGTTTGTTTGTGTGTATGTGTGTATGTGTATGTGTGTGTATGTGCGTGTGTATGTGTGTGTGTGTGTGTGTGTGTGTGAGAGAGAGAGAGAGAGAGAGAGAGAGAGAGAGAGAGAGAGAGAGAGAGAGAGAGAGAGAGAGAGAGAGAGAAAGAGAGAGAGTGAGAGAGAGAGAGAGAGAGAGAGAGAGAGAGAGAGAGAGAGAGAGAGAGAGAGAGAGAGAGAGAGAGAGAGTATGTACAGTATACATTTGTCTATGTCTCTATTAATACATGGCTGTATAGTATACACATATGTATGTCATGATAAAGGAATGTGCGTGTGCATAGGAATATTGTTGTGTATACGTCGCGTGATAATTCATAAAATGTAATAAGCCTCAAACGCAAAACCATGTAACTATATTATCATTTTGAGCGTTGTACCAAAATTAGTTTTAATATCATAATTATAAAAGCGCAGGAAAATAAAAGAAGACCTAATAATGATTATCTGTTAGTTTTCTTTTTTTTTTAGTTTTTTTTTTTTTTTTTTTTTATTTGCGAGGCAGAGCCTCGCCCGGGATGTGCCCATGGGGGGGAGCCCGGTCATATCTGTTAGTAAGATAAGTCCGATATGCGAAGCTGAGCCTCGCCCGGGCTATGGGGGAGCCCGGCCTGTGCCGACTAATGTCGACTCGCTAACAGTGTGTCAGCAGGTGCTGACTCGGATGAGCTTAGTCCTTACCCACCGTGGTGCCCAGCCACAGCAGTAACCTCCAGGCGACAATTGCAACTTATCGCGCCTGGGCGGGGCGCGAACCGCCGACCCCTCGAATGAAAGGCCGGCACGTTACCACTGTACTAGCTAAGATCAAAGTGTAGTATCTGTTCTTATCATTTTAATATCTGTTAGTATCTGCCGATACCTGAAATAGAAAATGAACTGACAACCCTCATGGATCTAACAGAAAATTATAGGGGTAACTATACAAAATATATAATTGTGGAAAAAAACTAATCATTATCGTTATTAACATGATGATTATAGGTGATGACGATGAAATATACAAAACACATATACAAAGCTGCTATTGATGATAAAAATAGTCATAAAAATATGATAATAACAACAACAATAATGAAAATAATAATAATAACAATAATAATTATTATATTAATAATCATGATATTAACAGTAATGACCATAATGACTGACAGTAATAGCAATGATAACAACAAAAAAAAAGTTATGAAAATTATGTCAATGATGCTAAGGAAAGTTCTGGTAGTAATAATGATAATAATAATAATAATAATGATAATAATAATAATGGTAATGATAATAATAATAATAATGATAATAATAATAATAATAATAATGATAATAACAATAAATATGATAATGATGATGAAGATGATGATGGTGATGATGATGATAATGGTGAGGATGATGCATAAATATTGAAAAGAAAGTTGAAAATAAGAACGACAGTAGAAGTACTACGAGTAGTATTAATAGTAACAGTAATAATACAATAATAATAATAATGATAATAATAATAATAACAACATCCATAATGATGATACTGATAATGATGATAATAATAAGAATAGCAATAATAATAATAATAATAATAATAATAACAATAATATGACGATAATGATAGTGATGATTATAATGACAATAATAATGATAATGAATATAATAATGATGATGATGATAATAATGATAAAAGTGATAACAATAATGGTGACAATAATAACAGAATTACCACACAGGGATCTCTCTTTCTCTATCTCTACACACACACACACACACACACACACACACACACACACACATATATATATATATATATATATATATATATATATATATATATATATGTGTGTGTACACATACACACACACACACACACACGCACATATATATATGTACACACACACGCACACATATATATGTACACACACACACTCACACATATATATATATATATATATGTACACACACACACACACACACACACAAAGATACGTATAATTATTGTTATAATCGACGCCTCAAATGAAGAGGAACCGACTGAAGGGATCGATTACCTGACCTACTTTTAGAGGCGCCGGGGAATCCTCGGCATCCTGATTCTGTGCTTCTTTGCTCGACTGTGATTGTCGATAGAAGCTACCGTTCCCTGAGCCTTCCGTTTACCATTTTTCTTTTATTATTAGGAAAAGTATTTAAACGACTGGATTGCTTAATATTATCATTGTTTTGCTTATCCCTTTAGTGAGTTGATTATGGCATTTTAACTCGTCAAGGTTATATAAATATATATATATATATAAGTATATAAATATATAAATGTATGTGTGTGTGTATGTGTGTGTGTGTGTGTGTGTGTGTGTGTGTGTGTGTGTGTGTGTGTGTGTGTGTGTGTGTGTGTGTGTGTGTGTGCTTGCGTGTATTATTCAAAAGACAGATACATTTTATAAATATGATAATAACAACAACAATAATGAAAATAATAATTACAATAATAATTATCATATTAATAATATCAATCTATCTATCTATCTATCTATCTATATATAGATATCAAAGATAAATCGTGGAGTTCCACAGGGATCACTTGTGGGACCATTGTTTTTCCTTCTGATAATTGTCAGCATGGCCACTACAGATCACGCATGAGATATTTTGACAAATAGGT